TGATTCTTTTTTGTATTATATATATTATGTAAGTATATAGTATATTTTGCTAAGCTAATTTAGACCACCATTGTAACAACAGCACGACATGACGTAGGTGTAATCCAACAGGTTGTGCTGACTGCAGATGCTTTAAAACCCTCTTTTTCTCTCCCTCCCTCCTTTCCACTCCATCGGTTGCAGATCCCAGCCTACATGCCTTGTTAAAACAGCCTGATTGAACTGACATCCTCACTAATGAGCATTTCTGATCCATGGCTTTTAAGGGGAGCAGCTGGAACCTTCTGGGGAATCGTCTCTTCGTTGCAAAAGGCCAGGAAAGGAGGAGCCTTCTCCCAGAAATAATTCTCTACCTTGCTACTGCTTCTTCCACTTCTTCCTCCAGGCAGATTTGGTTCTCACATCCAGCTGATTCCTAGAATAGGTGGCTCTTGATTTTTTTTTTAAATTATTCTGAAATAGTGCTTTACGGACAATTTCTAAGGGCATGGGGGACCAATGTAAAAAGTACCACAGAACCTACAATGTCATCATCTTCCTCACCCCCCAAAGTGGAATAAAATAGCTTCTGGCTCAGAATATTTTGGTATCACAAACTTTCATTCCACATGCTAAGGGACCGGCTCGGCCAAGTCCCAGACTGCTGTGTTAGGGGTAACTACTGCTAACGTACTTTTGACTCAAGGAAGGAGGGGGGAACTACACCCCCCACCCCACCCCACCCCAAGCAACAGGAGAGAGGAAAATCTCACTTCAGACTTCCCTTTCCTGCATGGTGCCCGATACAAAGGGAGGTTGCTAAAGCAACAGTTTCTCCCAGCTGACTAGACCGAGTCATGCACATAGGCTTCGTGCTGAATCAGTACCAGTCCCATCAGAAAGATGGAAAAAGCTCCTTGTCTACTTCCTAGCTTCGACTGCTCAGCCAGCACCTCTGGGAGCTCTGAATTCACTCCATCCTGGTCTCTGACATTTCCTGCAGCTATCTGGACCCCTGGGGAGAGCTTCTCCACAGCTCCACTGGAACCATTCATGCAAATCACCCTCTTAAGAACTATAAAGGAATACGGTATTTAGCATCAACCCACTCAGCCCCCACCGAAATAACTTCAGGCTGAGGTCTTCAGCGGCTTGAATGATGCTGTGCTGTTGCCATGGCAGCACAACCGCTCTCCCAGGGTGCCTGGGGTCAGGACCATTCAGGAGGCTTCTCACCACAGCACCTTGCAGCAGCTGTAACTGCAGAACCTCTGCGGCTCCATGGCCTGGTGGGGTGGCAAAAAATAGCCCTTCTCCCTGCCTCGCAGGCCAGTAAAGAGGAAAATGCTTGCCTCTGCCAAAAACCTGGCTGTGCAATCTGAGTTGTCTCAGAGCGCCAGGAAGAGCTGGTGTATGCTAGCAGTACGTCTGTTAGCTTTGGGTTTGAGGAGAGAAGCGGGGAGATGACAGAAGGGACGGCTCCATGGCAAGGGAAGCCCAGTTGTGGGCGATCTACCTTAGCAGCCAGGTAGAAACACGTGAGATGCCCCACAGGCCAGTGTTCCCAGCTGGCTTCTGCATTTATTTCTATCAGCGTATCAGCCAGCTAACCTCAGAGTTCAAAGCTGTTGCCCTCTGGCAGAGGAGAACAGCACGTCCTGAACAGCCTACAAAAGGACATCAAGCTCCTGGGCGAGATATGCAGGTAAAGGGCTGGATACCAGTGAGGAAGATTATTTTTATTTGACTATTTAATTCAAGGTTTATTTGTTCCCTGTGTTGATACTGATGCAGATTCATTCCAGTTCAGAAGCCGTCACGTAGGGAAAAAGGAAATAACACAATCTGGCTCCCCTCTTTTGGCATCTGAACAACATAGTTCCTCAGAAGCACTCAAGAGGCCAGCAGCATGTAAATGCTTTCCCTCATGGTGACACAGACAGAACTTTCTGGTACTAGAGTAACCCCCTTCCTCCCTTTGACTAGTCCCAGCTGCACGTAGCTTTGGTGTGAATCATGGTTATGCAATGCTGACTCTCCCACTTTGCTCTTATTGCACCTCTCTCATATTTGCACAACCAGAAGCCAAGACGGAGCCCAGCCATTTCTCAGCCATCCTATTCTGAGCGTGCACTGCTCCCACTGGCATCAGAGGTGAGCTGGGAGCACCGAGCACCACTGAGCTGCAGCCCAGGAAGGCACGGTCTTCTCCAGTCTCTGTCCAGAAGGAACCTGGCAAAGCATGAACACGTCGGCTGCCCAGTGCACTCACCCACCTAAATGATGCAGACTCTGCTGGGATGCGCGATAGTATTTACAAGTAGATCTAGGCTCGCTGCATCTCTGGGCCCCCCTCCTTTCTAGGTCACCATGACTTCCGCAGTCATCCAGTTGACCAGGACTAATGGAGCACAGATGTACTCTCGAGGGAGTGAGTGTGAACCAGAACCCTCATCTCTGGAACGCTTCCCAGGAAGAACCATCTCCTCACCATCACGTATCCCAAAGTACCTAAGGAGAAGACAGAGCAGGAAAGGAAGCAGAAGAGTGAGTTCCTAGTCTTTTTGCTACTTTATCCCTTTAAGGTTCTCAAGCAAGATTTATGATCACATCTTCTTCAGAGGAAAACAGTGTTGTGCTAACAGGTAAGCAGGAAACAACCACAAGGAGATACAGATCTGCAATGCTTTAATTAAAGCACAGGTAAACAGTGAACAGCAGGAGACCTCTCAAGCGTTTCACAAGCCTCATCTTAGTCATTACTGTTTGCCTTGTAGGTTACAAGGTGTCTACGACTGCTCTCCACGCTAGCTTGTAGGGCACGGAGCACAACAGGACAAGCTGAACCTGGCTGTCGGGCAGAGCTGTGTGCTGGTGCTTGTCCACAGCAACTGAGGGATCCAAGTGCACAGCAGCAATGAAAAAGTGCAGCCTGCCAATGTGAGACCAAACTGTGTCAGGGCAGGAAGAAGAGATGTTTCTTTCCATACTGAAGACTAAAACGTATTAGAAAGAGAAAGGAGCCTTTGAAAGCATGGACCGGTCAGATTCCCCCAGTGTGGCAGGAAAGGCCCATGTTTCTGACTTACCACTTTTGGCAGGGAATGTAGCCAGAATGTAAAACATGGGTGATCATAAGCAGAATTAAACAGTGGGGGGTTCTGGAAGCACAGTACTGTCCATGCTGGACAGTGTGGGATCCTCCTTGTGACCCTGACAACAAAGCAACAGCAGGAAGCAGTGTGGTGCTGCCAGCCATGGCTGTGATTGGCAGCAAAAACACAGAAGCCTTGTTAATATTGCAAAGACAGAAATGAAATCCTTCTCCTCTTACGCAATGCTTGCCCTTCCTCAGCAGGGATCAAATCAATATGAGACCTTGCAAAGTCAATGGTTTATTTCAGGGGTTTTGAATTGGGCTTTGTAGGCAAAAAGGCATCAGCCTTGTTTCAAGCTCCACGAAGACACATCGGTATTTCCATTCCACATCTATTTGTGGGACAGAAACATGACTTTGTTCCTCTTTAATCCTCTTTAAATATTACACTATTTTAAAATAAAGTCTGTCAGGAAAAAAGAATCAAGTCTAGGGCTGGAATTATCCCTGGTGAAGACTGGGGATCCCACTTGTTAGTGAGTAAGAATCACCTTGAAGGAAGTTAAGAACAACCTTGTAGCATTAACGTCGTATTTCCCCATCCTTTCTTCTGGTTTATGTTAGTACCTTAGCCTTACCTCTATGGTGGTGGTTTAAGCACACAAACGTGCATACGCATACACATGCAAGCATGTCACTATAATACAGCTACCAAACCATATAAACAGTGTTAACAGTTTACTGCAATGCCTTTCTGAGGGACATTAACAGCAATAGAGAGAACTTCCACATAATTTCTGAGGAAATGCTACAGTTGTAGGCCAACTTACATAACTGATTTAGTTGAACAGAATTGCTTTCTGCCTTTAATCTGCTCAACAGTTTATCTTTGCTGTCGTGATCAGTTGAGCTTTCTTTAAACCATTATGGATTAGCGTTCTGCTATAACACGTTAAAAGCTTAGCTTTGTTTATTTTTGTCAAGAATGGGGGAGGGATATCAGGTTCAAATGTTCAGGCAGCAGTTCATGAATGGTTATTTTTCTTACATGGCAATCAATATATTCAGGTGCTGAATGCACGGCACAGCTAAACGCTTCCAGAGATAGAACTGGTGGCCAGAATAAAAATATTTGTGAATTCATGAAAAAAGGAAAAAAAAAAGAAAGAAAGAAGGAACTTTATAAATTTGCATCATTATTTTAATCTGTAAATATAAAATTTAATCCAGCATTCAAATAGTTCATCACAGCTACCAGCTTTGTATGGAAGACCAAAGAACAAATGGTCTGAAAACTTAATAAAGCTGGTTGAGGATTTTACTAAGTTTGCATTGTTGTTGCAATTTGGACACAGAAATCCTGCCAAAAGCAATCTGTCATTCAACTGCAGGAAGATAGTACACCATAATGCACAAAAACCTCCAAACAAACAGAACCTCAGCCACACTGCTTAAAAAAAGGTGTTCAGATAATATTAACCAGCTGTTCGGTGAATTTTCACAGTGGATTCATCAACTATGAAAGTGGATGATCTATTAGAAGACTACAGTATGAATCCAGGTCCAAATTTCCACTATAAATTGATGAGCACAATATACTATTTGAAACCAAATCCAATGATTAGCACACTTCCTTGACCTCTGTGTAATCTAAGTGATTTGCAGATGCCAGCCTGGAACAGAGAGAGAGGTTGTGTTCCTGAACGCTGCCAATAATCCTCTGTGCAGCCGAACACTATTGCAAGGAAACACTAATTCTGTGATCAGTCATGTTGGCAACCCCATGACCTTGCAACTTTCGTTTCTAAAATGAAGCAAGTAGGCACTTCCACATTCCTAAGAGCAACACAGACATTAGAGGAGTTAAAAAAAAAAAGTGTCTAGTGGTGCTAGAAAAAAATAAAAACATAAACCTGGGAAAGCAATTCAGAAAAGAGGAAGAAAAAATCCAACTTATTTGCAATTAGTGTGCTGTTTGTTTTGCTTTCTTATCGGGAGAGATCTTTATTCTGCACATTCCAGTGAATGGCCATTCGCTATTAATTTATCTTCTTTCTGACGGCAAGTGGAGCACCATTCCAGAGTCTCAACATTCCCTTGATGCTGCTCTGGTTAATGCTTGCGTGCTATTTAAACAAAGCATATTCCAACCAAATCTGACTATATATGGAATTCCCTGACAAGTAAAAATTTGGATGCCCTACAAAAAAGAACCATGAAAACAGAAAACATACACAAACACACAAAACACTCCAAACTGCACAAACTCAACATGTACTAAAACAGGCTCTTGGTGGCGAAGGTCAGGTATCCAGTGTGACCGACCATCTCCCTGAGTGGCACGCCACTTTTGAACTGCACAGTTCCTTGCTGCAGATTAGCGCACGGGCTACCTTGGTTTGATGGGTTGCTGCTGTCAAAGCCAGCGCTAGAATTATCCTCAGCTGCTTTTCCAAGGTCAGGGATTTGCAAGCTAATTGTCCTTACGTTGTACACTCGGAGCAGAATTTCCAAGGTGTTAATCTCTGTAAAACCATATTCTTCCATTGCTAGGCAGGTTCTTTGGACTTGTTCAATGCAGGGGGAGAAAGAGCAGATGCGGCCACCTGCAAAATGAGACAGGTAGTGGAAAAGAGAGCAAAAACCAAAACAAAGCACTTAATCTTTTTTCAAATTCTCCCAGATGCACATAGAATTGCTATTATACAAACAAAGTGAAAACATTCTTCAGGAAAATCTCCACGAGGCAACTATGCATTTTTCAAGTGCACAAAAATCAAACATGGGCGACTCTATGTGATGCTTCAGACTGTTTAAAAATTTCAACAGCAAATTCATTCATCTTCCAAATCCAGTGTTGCCCACCACATTTGTTCACAATAAAACTGTTAAAGTTGATCCCTTTAGAGCAGTGACTTTTTTGGAATCACTCTCCACTATTCTGGACTGAGGCACCGAACTGAAGTTGGCACCTACACAAAGCCAGAAGTCATTCTCCGCACACTGTACAGAGTTGCCTTCATTAGAATATAAGCGTGCATGCACACACACTCTGACAAAAGCGGCTGTGTTTATTTGAGAACGATGGTATGCGTGTACAGAATAAAGTAATCTCTCCAGGCCATAGATGGAGTGCTGTTAAGGCTTTACCCTTTTAGTCAAGCTGACTATCATGTCTCCTCAGCATTAAAGTTTACTGGGTATCACATCGGGCAGTTTTACAGCAAATGCTTCAAAACTCTAGGATAGGACTTTGAAGTCATAAACTAACACTTGTCTGCGCACAGTGCAGATTTTTGGTTCTAATACAGGGTATTAATAGGACCCCTCCAACTTTCTGTGTGCTACAATGTCACCTTAACAGCTGAGAATAGAATGATTCAGATTTACTCTGAAAAGCCACAGCCAAATCAGATCAAAGAATTATAAGGACACTGTCTGCCATAAAGCCAGGGCATGTGCTTTCACCCAGGACACAGTGTCTCACAAGGCAACTGCCCTTCCTGAAAAGCTTTTGTGCTGGGGGAAGGAACACTGGGCAATGCAGCTCCAGCTATTGTTTCACTTATTACAATTACATGAAAATGCTTGCTGACCTGATTTGCATTCCTTCCCAGCCCCCTCCCAGGCCCATCCAGTCAAGCCTTCCAACACTAGTTGTCTAAGCAGTTAAAGAACCCATGCAAGTGAGAGCAAAGCATCCTGCTAAAAATAGAGGCTATGCTGGGACTACGTGAAGCCTGCTTTATCTCAAACTCCCCTTTTTTTTTCCTTTTTCGTTTCTAAAGTCACATCTCTAAAAAAAGAAAGCATCAGGTCTGAAAGCGTCACTGTAGCACTCTAGTTACTGTGCAGCAATGATGTGCTGGGTACTGACTGAGGAAGAACACTTTCCATGACTGTTAATCCACCATACACTAAGTAGGATTTAATTTTAGTCCTGAAATAAAGTCTCCATAGCCAGGGGTTCTTAATCATGCATCTTCAGAACAAAGTACTCTGGACAAGTAATTCCCTGGAGTGACAATTAAAACCCAAATCTAATAATCACCTGCAAAATTAATGCTGGTATGTGTCATTATTAACCAACTCTGTTGATGCTGATTTAATTGCACACCCAGTCCACTAGCTCCCATGAAGTTACATTTCTATGTTCATCAGCATGGCCAGGGCTACCAAAATGATTCTGAATCAGACAGCTAATCTTTTATGGCCAAACCAGTACACACTTCTACCATGTTTGTAGATGTAAAAGAGAAAAGCTCAGGAAGAAATTTCTATTGCCTAATTAGAAAGCTACTATGATGCACATATGTCATGAAGAAAGATGTTATATTCTTATTGGGTAGGGAACTGAAAAAATGTCTAACTTAGCTAAATGTCAGTTCACAATAACTCTTTGTCTGCGAAGTAAGAATTTGCAGAGAGACCAGAGACTTACTACTATTTCATTCAGGCTTTTTTGGTTTTGGTGTTTTATATTGCAATAAAAAAGGGAAATATATTTACATTTACAGTAAGTCTGTTCTTATTTATTCTGAGTACAAGGGTTTCAAGATATGTTTAGGCTTTTGAATTCACGTGCTCTAGATTTACAGTCAAAAACTAAGGAGCCTGCACACAGCTGTTGGCATACAAGCTGCAAAGCCGCCTACGGTTCTTGTCAAGCCTTCAATTAAAGGCAGAGCACCCTTCATTTGCCTCAGGATGGTCAGCTGAGCATAGCATGTCAACACCAAACTTGGTGATGATTTATCAGATTGCCTCGTTGCAAAGCGGACTTCTTGGGGAAGTAAGGTTACAGAAAATGGGCTTTCAAGCTGCTTGGTAGGGAAGAAAGATCTTGCTTGCAATAGCTAACATCCAGAGGGGAAGTGCAAAAATTAATGTTACTTTACTTACTGCACTGCTGGAAGCTTCTCAGGTATAAGGAGTGAGAAAACAGCCTAACAGTTGCTATTCCATATAACTGAGAGCATCCAGTGGGTTTTAGTAGTTCTGCCAATTTCATTCTTTCCTTTTCATACCTATTGTTCTGGTTATTACACATCCCTCCCAAATAAATATACTTACAAATAGCTTAGAAGCAAACCCACCAAGCATCTGTCTTTATGGGTCCTAACAAGTGGGAGAGGGGTCTCCTGCTTTTTCCTGTACACAGCATTGGGTAGGCCAGATTTCACTTGCAGGCTGGACTTGTTTGATTAAGTAGATATTAAGAGAAAAGTGGAAAGCTACAGTTAGCAGAAGGTTGGAAGGCAAAAATGAAATTGCAGTTCCAGACTGCAAGAGGCTGTCTAAAATAGAAAGATTTGGGAAGCTTCGATTGCCATGGTGTGTTTAGACCAGCAAAAAACCCCACTCTGAGCAGCAGAAAACCAGCACTCAGAAGGACACGGTTATCTGTTCCAGGAGCGGAGACACTGTCATCTTCAACAGACCAGATGCTTCTGAATTCTCTACACTGGGCTTCCCTCTGTACCCCCACCAGATTACCAGCTAGGCAACACCCTTTCTGTCACAATCACCAAACAGATATAAATCTAGATTTCAGCATTCACAATTCTCAGATTCTCTAAGAGCCCTCTTGTCCTTTAGACATCAAGAGGCATTTAGGGCTTAGAGGACTTGAATATGCATTGCTTTGTCTTGCCATGCCAAGGATTCCTTAGTGAATGAAGAAAAGACATGTACTCCCTCCCTCTCCACTTGCTGGGGCACACTGCTCTGTGGATCACAAAGGGGTGGACTAGACTAGAGAGCAGTGAAAACCACTGAAGAGAAACTTTTTAGTACAAACTGAGTTTGTGTTCTTTCAGAGCGCTCCTTTTAGGAAAGCTACCATTCCCAAATTTGGTTAATGAGATGTGTGTCATCATAAATTGATATAGTAATTATCTGAGATTAATCCTGTTCACATTGGGAAGCTGTGTGAGCTTTTTGATCTGAAGAGCTGTCTAAAAATGTGTTTATTCATGTATAATGCATCTGACAAGTGCTACAGTTGAGGAGAAGAGAATAATGAGACTGTATGAAAGACTTAAATTTTTTTCTACCTTCAATTTTACAGGGAGTGACTTAGTTTGAAACATTTAATGGAGAGATTAAATCTCCCAAACCCGTAGGCTGGAACAAGCCCACACAGTCCTGGCAGTCATTGTAACCAGCAACAGGGTTGAGAGGATATGAAAACTGAAGTACAATTCAGACTGGAATGATTAGAGAAGAGAGTTAAAGGAAAGGGGGAAATAGAAGATTTGCATCCACATAGCACTGTACATTTTAACAGACAGTATCTAATTAGTAATCAAGGGACACAACCTTGCATCTTTACAAGACGTCAGTGCCTTGAAAGTTCCTCCTCTTTCAAGAGCAGTTCCTGGTACTTCCCTGTGCAACTCCGACAAACAATTTTGTTTCTGGTTTGTCTGAGCAAGGACTAACACCTCTACCAGTTCTATTTAGCTGATAACTGCACTAGGTTTGAAGTATGGAAAATCTGGCAGTGCTACCCAATTGACAAGAACTCCAGTGCATGCTTATGATACAGAAAATGTGTCCAAATTACATGCTCTCACTTCTGTAGGTTATATTATGTGTCACAAGTGTGCTCAGACAGGTTTTTTCATCATCCCAGTATTATTCAGAAGATGCAGAAAGAACATATGTAGTGCAGCACCATTAAGTTCCAGGGAAAAGAGCCTGTAATTTTAGCAATGGTTCTGTGATGTAAAGAACACAACACAACATTTTTACCTCCAGTAAAAGAACACAGCCCTGGGTTTTGGGACTTCAGTGCATTGTCGTAATTGGAGGATTATGTTACAAAGATCTCATGGAAGAAAAAATCACACAGGCATTATCATTATGTAGGGGCGAGGCAGGAGTCACTGAGCAGCATCACCGTGGCATTTACTCTGTGCTAGTAGGACACTAAAAATATTGCCTCTGTAAAAGGGGACAGAACGTCCTTTAAGTGAGTGTGCTCGTGGGCGATTTGATGTAGCTTCCCTGACAAGTGAAATTAGAGGATTCGGCTGTTGGAAGAAATTAAAGGATGCTTCTTGATTCAGAAGAGAATTTTCTCCAAATCACTTGCCAGCTCATTAATAGGAGCTTGTTGTGATTGTCTGCAAATGTGACCTTAACATCTATGTTTGTAGGTGCATCCTTCAAAAGGAATTTATTCCTGCTCACTACTACGGGCTGGCAAAAGCATGTAACAAGGAAATTAAAAAATCAGTTGGCTCCAAATTGGGGAAGAAAACCTAACAACTTCCTTTAAGCATATTTTCATCCCAAACTACTTCTTACAAACTGTGTAAAGGCCAATAGCTTTGGCCGGCATTCCATGGATTATGATGCAGGAATCCTTCTGCTTGATTCTTGACATGTGATTGAATCACTTTTACTTCAGGCCAGACCCACTGTGTGCACCTGACCCTGGCAGACCAGAGCTATGTTAATGCCCTCCAATGAGATACAACTACTGGGGCTGGCTCAGCAAACAGCCAGTGCTTGGGAACCAGATGAAGCTGCTTTGTGGGTTAGCACCCGGTCCTAGATCTTAGTGGGGCAGCTTTGCACTAGACCAGATGGCATCTCAATGTTGAGAGGATATGCTTCAGTTTAGTTTGTGGGTCTTTAACCTCACCTTGAGTTAATTCTCTTTCAAATCAAAGCAGGTACCGCACTAGCAAAGGCTGGTGCCGACATTTTAGCAGGCACTCATTGCTTCATCCATTTATTCCAAAATAATCTCCTGGGGACATAAGAAGCATAGATATCGACTTGAGTACCACCTGCACGGGTGAAGGACAACAGCAGGCTAGACTGTCAGGCTCCACTTCCTGCCCTAACACATTCCCTGTGTGTTCTTGAGGTAGCCTGAGCCCAAACATCAGCCTTGATGTCACTGCCCTCTTCTCAGTCTGATTCAGCCTGGGGTACCCCCTATCCAGACACCACATGGGTGAAGACTTGTTGCCAGGGATTTCAGCTGCTGCTCAAAGCCACACCTAGGTGGTTTAAAAATGGGACCATGAATAACTTCTGGGGCTCAAGAAAAACAGCCAGTGAGACGTTCTATGTGGACGTGGTATTCCCTGAAAGCTCGGGGGAGGAGGGAGACAAGCCCAAATGAAAATTGAAACCAGCTAAACCAGGCAACAGCTTACCTGCACCACAGGTTACTGGGAGAATGAGATATTATTTATGCTCTTATACAGCATCTGTAATAACCAAACCTGGCAGGTTAGGACAACAATCAATGGCTATGCTAAGGGGAAAAAAATGCAAACAAGACCTGTTTTAAGTCCATTGTGTACAAATGAAACAAATATAAGAGTTTGGAAATGAAAACCAACTACTACTACAAAGAGCAGAGTACTGCTGAAGGGCTTCTGTGATGGCAGGAAATGCAGAGGCCCAAACAGGGAGATGTTCATAGGGAACTTTCCCTGCAGAGTTTTGGGGGGAGACCTGACAACACCATGTTATCTGATTCAGGTGATATCTCAAGGATCACAATTTGACAAACTCATAATTTAAGGGCTTTATGACACTCAAGAGGGAGTGGCAAGTCTGAATTTAAGAGTAAAATCTTTAAAAGAAAGAAAGAAAATAAAAGAGGGGTGGTTTTAATAATTTTGTGACTCAGACTGTTAAAGTAAACACCACCAAGGACTGATTTATAATGCAAGAGGCCAATCCAACTTAAAATATGGCTGTATTTTTCCATCTCCCTACCTGAAAATTTAAAATCTGTATGAAAATTACTGGACAAGTGGGTTTCTGCCTCATCTTCCACAGCCTTGGAAGAAATAGACAATATTTATGAGAGTAGAGTAGGTGGATGCAGAATTATATTCAAAGCACTACAGTATTCAGCTGTGAGATGACTCTGAGTCAAAAGTTTCAGGGCATTTAAGAAGTGTAGAATATTGAGGATATTTTTGTTACCCTACAATTTTTTCATTTTCTTCATTTTTTAAAAATATAGCCTGAAGGGGTTAACAGCAACTTTGCAAAAACCACCAAGGTCAGATATTGGGAACAGCAGCTATGACTATAGAAAAGCATTAATCAGCAGATGCTGCAAAAGAAAAACAGTGCAGGTCTGGAAATGAAAGCAAGTTCTGCAGTGCAGCAGTGCCTGAGAGATACTACAAGCAGCATTTCTGCTGAAAATGTGACTGGTGAAATCAGCACAGAAGGATGCAGCTGAGTTGCAAGCCTGAACGTTGGCAAAGTACATCACCAGAGAACAAGAACCTTCTAGTCACAAAACTACTCTGTCATTTTATTCTTTTAGCTCTTCAGAGCTTGGCAGTGCTTTAAATGGGAGGCCAAGCTACTGTAAGTGTATTTACAGCATACTGCAAGGCATAACGTGAGTGATAAATACACTCTGTAAAGAGGATCATTAACACTCAGCCTACTAGGAGCTGCAACTATTCAGGATCTTGAGCTTAAGTAGGAGAGAAAACACTGATTTGATAAGGTTTTGTTAAGAACTCTCTCTTACATACTGTCTCAGCTGAACACTCTATAATGAATATTGTGGTTTTAAAGAGGTGGCTAGGTGATGCTATATATTGAATTCATTTAGCTCTGATTTCATTCAAAGTACCTTAAGACTTTAGGGAATAAATTACCACTATCTGGCAGTACAGCTGCGATACTTGCATGGCACATCACAATAAAACCCACAGTGTGAGTGGTTCAAATGTGACCCTGTCCAGATGTGAGAGGGTGTGGAGGGAAAATAGTGGAACGACTCATTTTCTCCAGTGATGCTTTATCACTATACTAACCCTTGGAACGGCCGTGAACAGCAGTATGTGCACAGACTGTTCTTACTGCGGAAGAGCTTTAACTTTTTGAAAACAAAACAAAGGAGCACTATAAAATTAT